AGAGAGAGAGAGAGAGAGAGAGAGAGAGAGAGAGAGAGAGAGAGGCATTAGGGTCGAAAGTGGGATACGTAGTTTGATGTAGGCGAAAGCTTAGTGGCAATCATGGGACAGATGATGAGCAGGAAGATACGTGATCAAGCTGATTGCTTGGCTAGGAGCATCATACTCGGGGTGAATAGGTTAATTAGAAGACGGTTGATTGCAGCAAGAACAATATCGTGAGTGTAAACGAGTGGCAAGGGGTCTCCGCTGCAAAGAGCAGCTTGTAGGGTTCATTGGTACTGTAGGGTTCATTGGTACCAACTAATGCAGCACATGGGTAATAATTTGAAACGGAGAAACACCAGCGGAGGGTCTCTTCATGGCTTGGTTGCTTTGTCATCTTTTTAACAAATGAGGTTGTGCCAGTACGACATACCTTTTTCTTTTTTTTTGTGAATTTTGCGTACCCTTCCATGAGATCCTGCATGTTCCCTCGTTGGAGGCTTGAGCACGGATGTGGATGCTACGAGGTTCCCCGTAATACTATCATGACAAAAAAAAAAGGCCTGAAAGGCCGTCCTGTCCAGATTTGACAGGTAATTGAATTTGTTGGGCTTAAAGAATTAGCCTTTTAACAAAAAAAATAAATAAATAAATAAAAAATTGCCAGGGCTCTGTGAGTGGTTCTCTGTGCGAAGAATGCCCGAGTCTGACCAACTTTATTGCCAAGAAGATCATGCTATCTAGGTACACACATTATTCCAACCTGACCTCTGATCCTTAGGGCCAGCTTTCAGAGGTTCTATGTATATGTGCCTACAAGGCATGAACCTCAGCGATGGAAATGGCCAGGTACATAGTTTCTGCCCACAAAAACAGCGGCAATGGGAGCCTAAAGATCTTCAGGCTCCAAGTGGTCTCGCCAGTCGGGCAACTTCATGGGCACAAAAACAGCGGCAATGGGAGCTTAGCTTTCGAAACGGAGTGCAGAGCGACCAGGATCTAGCTTCAAAGCGGAATGCATAGTCGAGCTTCTACGTGGAATGTAGTGTGACCACGGTCTGAAAGCCAAGTCGCAATTACAATGCTCACGATAGGACTGCTCCTTGCTAACTTAGTGGGTCATTGGTGAGCCAATGGGACAGAACCTGTCCCTTCTAGCTTACCATGGGACACGGCAACTTAGTATAGAACAGCACGGGTGTGGCTGGATGCAAGCAGGACAGAGCGGCAAAGGGCATGCTTATACTAAGGGCATCCTTCCAACTTAGCGTAGAAGAGTGCAGGCGTGGCTGGACGCAAACTGTATGGAAGGACTAAGGGCGTACTCATTCTTAAGTGTATGCTTTCGTGGATGCATTTAGCCGGTTTAACGGTCCGATTTACAAGTCCAGAAGGTGTTAGTGTATGTATGTATGCCCCAGGCAACGTTTTTTTTTTCCTGCCCTCCCCCCTCCCCGCCCGCTGGCGGGCCCAATTTCCTGCCTATTGGGACGTCCCCGGCTACCTCCTCCTTTCATGGTGTATGCGCCGGGTGGTAAGGGCTCCTCGCTTCACTTCATCCTTGACCTTTTGTCCCAGATGTCGTTGTCTTCAAATGTTCGTCTCTGGGTAATGGAGGGGCTTTGCTCAGAGGGCGCATTTGCACTGCTGCGACTTTCCAGGATGTGTCTGGCAGGAAGGATACCATATGCTCGTCAGAATAGGTCTTCTCTGTGCGGTCAACTGAACTGTCTTTCCGCCAACGGACCGCGTGTATGTGCAGTGTCGCAATCTTCAAGGCGACTGCCATTTTAACCAATACAGAGCAATGCCACACGTGTTCTGAGGGAGAAGAGGATGATGGGCATCGATCACCAGTGTCAGCTCCACATGCAACCAAATAGAGCGCAAGGATGACATGCACAATTTGCGAAATGGTCGAAATTATTTAAAAAAGAAAAACAGAAAAAACGAAAAAACAGATCGCATGACCAGTGTGGCAACTGATCGATGGTCCATGTGTTCCGTGCAGTGAAACACACCGCCAGCGGTCCATCACGAGCGTCGTTTTCTGTACTTCTCTCTCTCTCCGCCTCTTTTTCTCAGAGAGGAAAGGCCTCGATCCCCCAAGTGGCGAATGTATCTTTCTCTAGAATGCAGCAAGAATTTAGGATGCATTCCAGCCATTTTCACAATTGGCTACTGTCTTCACCCGAATACAACGCCCAGTCATTATGGCCGTATTTGGTTCAATTTTCAGTCCAGATATGGCTATAATGACCGGGCTTTCTATTCGGGTGAAGACGGTAGTGTTGAGACCAGCTGGGACCACCACGCTGAAGGCACGGGTTGAATTCACAGGTCTAATACATTGGTGTGACGACAGTGGTTGAGAGTGAAAAACCATCCTTATCTTTAAAAAAAAAAACAAAAAAAAAAAAACATCCTTATCTCCATCGTCATTAAAACCAACAGTTGAGCGTGAGAGGCAGGAAAAGACCACCAGACAAGTGGAATACTTGTGTGGTGTACTGAGGAATGATCGGAAGTCTTGATTGCTACCGGTAGTAGTGTGCCAATGTAATACCATCATTCATAATGTGTCGGTTGCTGTAAGCCGGTGATCAAATGAAGTCTCGCTTCTGCAGTGTTAGTTTATTTGGGCAACCACCACTCCTTAAACCGCCCGTATCTCTGGGACTCGTTTTCGTGATGCTGGATTTTGCCTGCCCCTGGACTACCGAATGATGTAGTCGCTGGGGTGGTCAATGATGGCTATTTGCATTGCATTTGTGCCAGAATTTCCTTATGGGATTTCCTCCCCCCTCATTTTTAGAATACCCTTCTACAGGAGCATGTGCTCTGCATCCGTCATTTCTTTTCAGATTTCTTTTGTCGAAGGACGTGAGAGTGGAAAATCGCCGAAGTTCATGAAGTTTAAATTTTCTTCTCCGGCAGGCTGAATCTTTCTACTCCGGTAGGCCAAACCTATCCACGGCACTGGGTTAACCGGTGGGCAAACACAGGTTAGCTGCCAAGGGTTAAGCGGCCAGGGTAGTGGTGGTTTAAGATGGCATCCCTTCCAGAGTCCGTCCATCGTGGAATTGTTGGTTTTTCTCTCTTCTGCATCTGACCCAATCCATTGACGAATCCTAATAACGTTCAAATCCATGATAAACATGTCGAATGTGTCACACCAGTGAAGTTTTGGTCACTGGCCAATAGAGATAAAAAGGACCAAAATCCAAACAATCCTATTTTATTGAATACATCAAACAACTGCGAGGCTCAAGGCCTCGGTAAGCCCTTTCGGGCCTGTTCCAGCAAGTAAGGCCGCCCTAAGTGAAGGCGGGCCTGATAAGTTATGAGACGCCTATATTTGTGTTTTCCGCAATCGAGTTACGCAGCAGTGTCAGCTGGTTGAGTGAGCCCTGGCCCTGCCTAACGACATCTGTTTTGGGCTTCCCGGCCCTTCCTGAAAGAAACGGAGGCAGGCCCTGGGCCAGACACGAGGCACAAACTGTACAGATCACGCCTGGCAGTTGGACACGTGTTACTGCCAGAGGCCTTGCGGAATATTCCCTTGGGACAGAGGCCCAGCGACTTGGGGCCTACCGGAAGCGCTGCTGTGTTAGCTTCTCACGCGAGTCTCCCACACGCTCAGGGGCGAGCGAGGGGGATTGGCAGGCAGCCATATCCGGGGCTAGCCTGCCTGTATCTGGATGATGTGCATGGTGGTTTCGCGTGCATGTGGCATCTGTGTGGAGTATCAAGGTTGTGAGTGTGGCGAGGACATATCTGGTGCTTGATGCGTTCGGCATTGGCCGAGAGCTGCTTGTACTTTGGAAAGCTGTTGACTTCACTGCCGGCATTGTAGATAGGCTAGATAGGATCTGACACTTGTAGTCTGGGCGCCGAGCGCCACATAGGGGAACAACATTGGTTCATTGATGATGATGACGGTACTATTTCAACATTGTCATTTGTGAGCTCTGCTGTGTTCTTATCTGGTGTATTTCTTGTTGCAATTCTGCTTTTGGTCCGAGGTCACGACTATCTGGTTTCATATGTATGACTCGGCTTGGTTTCTGAATTTCGCTATTGCTCATTTTCCTTGCACAACTTTTTTCCTATAACTGAATATGTGTGGGTATCTATTTGCGAGGAGAGCGAACACCACGATACACTTTGCTCTTCTTCCGATGTATCCGCCAGCCTACCGTCTTCACCCCAACACAGTGCACCATGTGGCTGTACCGAATCGGAAATACAGCTTGTATACATTCGTTTTCGGAGGTTCCTGTGGTGTGGCAGTGCATGGGTATCGTTGCAGTGGATGACTGGCAGTGCTATTTATGCTGTTTTGTGAAGTTTGATAATTTCCGATATGAAATGGGATGCTTGTTGTGGATAACAGACACGAATAGAGCAGATCTCAATGCTCCTGGAATCATCAAGTGTGGTGGATGAGCCAACAGCTGCTACTGCTGATGGGGCCAACAGCGAGACGAAAAGGTCACCATCCCCTGAGCCTGTTTTTGATGCACAGGGACAGCAAATCAACACGCGTCAGGTGAGTTGGGCCTACTGTGCTTTCTGCCTGTCTTTCTGCCCGTAGCACCCTGTTTATCGTGACATCTGTTTCTATTCCTGGTCCTCCTCCTTCCCGTTGTACCCTGTTTATCGTGACGCCTGCCATGTGCACAGGGACATCTTTGTCTTTTTGTTTGTTTTTCCTGTGTGCTAGTCTGTGGAGTTGGTCACAACGGCCGAATGCAGAAGGTTGGCATTGGTTCTTCTTGCCATGATGAGAAAACCTGGAAGAGAACAGTCGTTGGAAAGAAACCTTCTCTCAGCTGTTGGGGAGATCGATGCCTCTGGTAGGAAGTCGTGCCTCGTGGGCTCTGTCACATGCTGACGTGACGTCCAGCCTCACAAAACAAACCGCTATATTGAATGACCCTGTCTTTGACCATGTTCACATTTTACTGAATGCATGGGTGTTCTTCTTCAAACCGCGAGCCTCCGTTTCTGGCAGCGGGTTTGAACTGTGCGCCGAAAGAAAAGAACGAACTGGTGTGTCAGCCTTTTTTTTTTTTTTTTTTTTGCCCTGGCTAGTGCTGCTGCTCATTTCGGCCTGGACTGCCAAGCCCCGAAAGATATGGCTCGAGCACGGCTGAGTCGTAGCTGTGAAAGGCACACATGGCCCCAGCCTTGTGGAGATTTGCTCGTTGCCTATCCTGAACGGGCGTACCGGACCACAGTGGCTGGTGGCGCCAGCCAAAAAACAAAAAAAGTGTGCGGTGTAAGCATCTAATCAGCAACTTGTTGAGACCTTCTTTGCTGAACTTTTATGGTGCATATCGTTTTCCTCCTCACACTACTACCGTCTTCACCTGAAAGTAACGCCCGGGCATTGTCTAGAATTGCTATGCAACCAACTTTTGGCTGAGGGTCACTTCTGAAATCCTCATAAATTCGGAAATAAAAAAAAGAAAACAAATCTGCAAGGATGGGACGCTCTTACGGTGCACCCTTGCAGCCCACACCTGGCCTTCCTCCTGAAAAAAAGGAAACAAAAAATCGAACCAAAACATACCTGTCGGAAGTCAAAACCTCTTTCAACCCCCTTTAAAACCCATGCATCCCCTTTCCCCCTTTCAAAACCCATGTATGCTCCCTCTACAAGGCACTCTGGTCATGGCACATTCAAATATAACGCCAGCCCCTTATATTCTAATATAAAGCCAGGCGGCCAGGGCCTTATATTCAAAGGGGCGTTCTATTCGGAAAAAAACAAGTAAAAACCAAAATCTGATTTTTCTAGGGTAAGTTGAATATAATGCTCAGGTGTTATTTTCGGGTGAAGATGGTAGTTCTCCTTTTTGTTTTTATTCCCTGTGGTCTCCTCGGTGGAAGCGTATTCATGTGATTACATAGGGAACAAACTGTGTTATGATTGAGCAATAAGGTCATCTGCTAAGAGTTTTGCTATTCTTGTGTGCTGGCTGACAGGCAAGGATAAAGGAGCAGTTGGATATTGAGAGACGGGAAGCTATCGGTAATCCACCTTTCTCTTCATCCCTTTGGGTGCTGACTTCTATTTTGGGTTACAATTCAGTACGAATGTTTGTTTCATCTGCGATTGGAGGCATCCACTACCTGAGCGTTCTCCTGTTTGTGCTCCCTTGTCTTTTTCTTTCGGGTTCCTTCTGCTCCTGCAATGGGGTCAGCTGGCCAGTGTTGATTGACTTCCATAAAACTGCCGCATTTCCTGAAGACTCTCTGCATGCACCCAAAGGGTGGAAGCAAAGGCAAGAGCTTCCAAAAGGGTGGTCGCACCTTGTCCCCCACCGGGTTAGCAACCTCGCAAGATGGTAGCATTGCTGGAACTTGCTGTGAATGACCATGAGCAGCGTGCGTTCATCTTGATTCCATGAAGTTTCAGTTCTTTTCTGCATGTTTTGTTTCCAAGCTGTGAAGGGTGCGAAGGGTGGCGAGTTGACGGGTGTCAGGATTGACGTGCAGGGTCCGGCCCAGGGCTGTGATTGATGGTGGGCAACTGTTGGATCACCTTTCTTTTTGCGAAATCACAATTTTTGCTGGGAGAGTGCATGTCGATGGAGAGGGACGGGGCACATCTGTAATGAGAGGTGCACATGAGGCGTGATGTATTTTTTTTTTTTTTTTGGGGGGGGGGG